CTCCAGTAAAAATTTACAGCTCTTGAAATCCTAACAGGGTTACTGTGAGTTGGAACTGAATCAACAGCATACAGCAGCAATTTTTATGAAAGCACATTTCCAGGCCTTTCTTCCACAGTACTTGATGGTTGGTTCTGCTGGGTTGACACCACTGGTAGGTTCAAACTGCTTACCTTTAGTTGTTGTTGTTGTTATGTGCCGTGGAGTCGGTTCTGACTCATAGCAACCCTGTACAGGGCTTCCGAGGCTGCACATCTTTACGGGAGCACAAAGCCTCATCTTTCTCCCACGGAACAGCTGGTAATTTCGAACTGCTGATCTTGCGGTTCGCAGCCCAATTCATAACCACTATGCTACCAGAGCTCCTTTTACCTTTAGTAGCCAAGTACAAACCTTTTGTAATACCCAGGAACTTCTAGGTCTTACAAAGTATTTTTGTTTTCATAAGACGACTTTTCTTGACTCCATGGATGATGAAAAACAGGTGGGGTTTTAAAAATGGCTGTGGGATTTCTGTCTGGTGGTTTTTCTCAGAAAAGGAAAAAAACCCCAACAAGCTAGAGATTGCCTTTTTTGGGGGGTGAGGGGTATAAATACTAGCACTTGGTTGCTTACTGAAAGGTTGGCCATTTGAACCCACCTAGAGGCTCCACACGAGGAAGACTTGACAATCTGCTTCTGTAAAGATTATGGCCAAGAAAACCATATGGGCAGTTCTGTTCTGTTACCTGGGGTTACTGTAAGTTGGAATAGAATTGATGGCACCTAACAATGATGACAGAAATGGAGTTCTTATGTTCTTAAGCATAATTGTGAATGAGTATTCATTAAACATGATGTTTAACTACAACATTTTTACATTTCTTTCCTGTGGCTCTTGGTGGTAAAGTCTTGGATGAAAAGTGTAAAAAGATACTGGGAATTTTCTCAGGGGCTGCAGTGAACGCTAGTTCCCAAGTGAGGAATGAGCTTCCAGGGGGTGATGAACCTTCTGTCTTTGGGTGGAAGTGGGGCCATTGTCCTCTGTGATTAGGACTGTGCTTCACAGGCCTCCTTCCTGCAGGATTTCTTGTGGGGGCATTCCTGTGTTGGAGGTAGGCTTTGCTCTGTTCAGAGAGTTCCTTTGGATTTTGTGCTTTCTATTATAGGTTGCTTCATGTTACTTGCCTTTAGAGATTTCTTGCTCTTTCTTATAATGCCCCCTTCAGATGGGGGTGTGGAAGAGCTTCAAGGTTTTATCCCTTAAGAATGTTCCCAAAACATTGGCTAGTGTGGAAGAAGAGGAAATGTCTGCTAAGGAGAGATGTTTGGAATAGCTGTGGTTTTCACCACTTCTCCCCTTCTTCTCTCTTTGTAAAAGACAATTTGTAGTACATTTTGTCTCTCTAAGGAAGACTAAGTACCCAGCTGGCTAGATATATTTAAAGAAAAAAAAAATCTCTTTAAACAGACCTTGAAGAAATCTATTATAAATTTGAGTGGGAACCTGAGAATGCTGTGGCATACAGGAAAAATTAATTAAAATAAAATGATAAATGAGATGTTGCTTTACTTGGGATTTTTAAGATTAAAATTAAAAGAATTGTTTGTTAGTAATATCTGCTTTACTTCATAAGGTATATTAATTAGTTCCTTTTGTGCAATTGAAAACCATCATCTATGCCCTCACATGCATACCATGTGAATTTGACAGTAAAATTGTGTTCTATGCTTCCTGCCTCTGCCCTAGATACAGCTGAGATTCCTGGCATCAGAGCTCTTTCTGTTGTAGCCTTTCTGATCCTAGTATCACTGGACCTGGTCCTGTTACACTGCTCTTAGGGCTGGAGGAGAGAGAGAGAAGCAAGTGTATCCTGGCAGTCAGCACCTTAAGGCAGGGCAGTTTCTGCCCCTAGAACTGCTGAGGCATAGCATCCTGTCCCAGGGTGTTTGTTTCTCTGTGCCACGCGTAGGACACTAGTTGCACGTCTTCCATTTCCTGAGTTGGTGTTTGAGGGGAGAGTGGGTCTTGTAGGGATCCTGGTGTTTTTTCACATGGTCAACAACCCCACTCCCATCCCCAGAATCAGTGTGTGCAAAGTACTATTGGGATGTATCATAACTGACCCTTGAGTTGAGGTAGGGACCAAGTTGCTGTTGGTCCTAGGTTCCAGCAGTTGGGTATCTTTTTGAAGTTCCCCAAGCTGTGCCAACGGTCCATCTTGAGGGTGGAGGGGTGACCAGCATAGACCCTGTAAGTCCCAGGGGAAGCTGTTAGTCTACTTGCTAATGTTAGTGATTATGATAGGGTAGCTTCTTATAGAAGGGCTGGTTTTTATTTGGTAGTTTTTAGGAGCATATTCTATACCTCCATCTCTCTGTTTTTGCCTGGGCACGTTTGACATTGTAGAGGAACAAGGTATTAAACAACTGTTCACTTACAGGTTTCTATATCTATCACAAATGGCGTTTCAATTTTCTCATGTCAAAAGTGTTAGGTTAAGGGGGGTGGGAGGGGGGTGTAAAAAAGCATTCACTTTTTATAGTATACACAATTTTAATAACAAAAAACTTTCCTGTACACTGCACTTTGTTACCTTTTCCCTCCCCAAAGACACCCATATAATAGCATTTTCTTCCCACCCCCAACCCACCTCCCACCAAAAATGGCTCTTGTATGTGATTGGACACAATGTGTTTGGTCTGTACTTTGAGTCTCCAGTCTCAATGTTGATAGAAAGGTTCACCAAACGTTCCATAGATCAGGGTTTTTTGTTTGTTTTTAAATCTCCAAGGAAGAAAAGATTAGTTGAAAGAATGTAAGTTCCAAATGTTTTTAACAGCAGTATCAAAAGCTTAAACAGTCATTTTGCATTTGTTTTTGGCCTTATTCAAGTACTATGAGTTCGCCCCAGGTTAAATAGAGAAATACTTAATTATCACGGATGGCCCGATTACCTTTATCTTTGTCTTTTTTTGGCTGAAGGACTTTTATCAATAAGCTATGAAAGCATGTTCCAAAGCAGACTTTTTGAGACATGTCTGTCTCTGTATTGTTCTGTTAGGAAAATGATCGTGTAAATCAGCTGGTTAAAAATGTTCTTTAAAATTTTCTCCACACTTTGGAGAAGACAACCAGGCATTTTATAACATTTTCCCTTATAGCTGTGTGTAGGAATTATGCCTTAAGAAAATGATTTCCCAGTTTTGAATTTTAGGATTCAGACCTAGTGCTACATAGGACTCATTTTTATTGGAAAGATGGAATCTAGCTCCTTAGAATAAGTAGATGGATTTTAATAATTAGTGGTATTGGGAAGTTCATTCAGTTTCATTCATTGACTTGGTACAGAAATTAACTTAGGCGTATTAAGAAATTCCATGTGTTAGTGGAGAATTTTGACTTAAAAATATCTTTCCTTTTTGATATTGGCAGTGATTATTTTCAGACTTGTGTGTGGATTTGCAAATCTACCAGTCTACTCTTTTCAGAAAGGTGATTGAAATATCTGGCAAGCTACAGAAATGAATCTATCTAAATAATCCCAAACTAGTGCTTGGTTGCTAGGTGGGTACAGTACTGTAGCCTTCTTTCAGCTTTCATGAGAAAGATTTAATTATTTTTCTGGGTTTTGGTTAAGTCTTCATTTCCTCCTAACCTTGAAAATTAGTTGGGGAAAAAAAGGGGTAGAAGGGTATAGGGAAGGGAAGAGGTTAAAACCCTCCAAAACATCAAATCCTGAACACTGTACTAACAGGATCTCTGCAGTGTTGCTGTGATGTTCTACTCTAGCCACTTGGTAAAGAGAGCACAGACACCTACCAGTCTCATCTTCAAACCTATGCTGATACTGAAACACAAATAGACCAAAATTAATGGAATCCTGCCTTCTGTAGGGAATATAAAAGGGAAGTTTCCTCTGTAAATGAAAAAGGAAAATAGCTATTTGGTACTGTTACTTACTTTTTTATTTTTCAAGGAAAAGAATGTGTGCCCCAGTGACCATGGTTATTTTGTTCCCCTGAATTACTATAAATATCAGGCTTTGTCACCTTGCATTTCTATATTTAAAATGTTGCCAGTTATTGGTTCATTTTATTAGCTGTGGCCTTTAGGATTAATGTGGGGATTCCCAGCCAATATTTCTCGCCCTTCCAAATCACAGTTTGAATTAATTTTGGTTTTGGTTGAAATAATGGAAAATGCACCTTCTCTGCTATGCTGTAGAACAGATTGAATTTTGTAAGCTAAGGAAACAGTTGTGGTCTGACCAAACTGTCCCCCGACAGATGGCTGTGGTCACCCTGATAAATGGGTTGGTAAATTTAAGCTCATAGAGCTTGTATTTGTTGGGGACTTTGATCCATCCCCTCAGTGGGGGAGTAGTAAGCTGCTTTTGGCCTTGCCCAGGCAGCATGAATTAACATGAGATGAAATGCTAACTGCTCAAGATCAACTGAACTGGGCTGGGACTTTGTCAAAGTAATCTGCCCACCTTAAACAATTTCAAGAGCCCATTTTCCCCATAATTTGTCATCTTAAATTTGCATTTTACTGAGGCACATTTTATTTGAAATGCACTCTAGTAATATTAAAAAGGAAAATAAGGATTAAATCTTATGGGTTAAACTGTGGTCATAATGTTTTCAATTCAAACCTGAGAAGAAAAAGATAACTTTCTTTTTTGATCGTGGCTTTCACTTTTGCCTTTTTTTCACATAAGGTGGTTAAATTGCAGTTTTAAAAAAGCCCATCCCTGTAAAGATTCAGTGCTCTGATTTCACAGATTTGTTACAACACATACAGATCCTTGTTTATGGAAAAATTCTAAGTGTGAATTTTTACCAAATATGTAGTTTTTCTGCAGAAATCATAAATGAAGAAATGAAATGTTTGTTCTTTCTGCTTGAAAATGCGGCACCATTATCATTTGTAGATGGGATGTTGACATTAACACTACAGAAACCTCACCTCCACTCCTTTAATCCTAGGCCTCCTCATCTGCCCTGTTTGATGCAGATTGGCTGTTTGTAATTTCCGTTAACTTGCATCTTCAAGAGCCAGATTTCAAAATGCTGCCTTTCCCCTTCATCCTTTCACCTCAAACAGCCTTTGAGTTAACTGCTGTGTGGCTATATAGTTATGTAGGGTGTTCTACTCTTGAGAGGGTTCACCTTGGTAATAGTCATTCCTGTCCTTAGGAGTAATTACTCTTACAATGTGCATGTTTTATTAAAAGGTTAAAATTTAGCATGTAATACTTTAAGGAGTGATTTTTTCATGGTTTCTTTATAACTAGACTAACAAGAATCAGTGGTATTTATGTCTGTTGCGAACCAATTATTTAAAATTTTGCTCTTTGAGGTTTGAAGATCAGGAAAAGGCAGAAAAAAGAGGTTTAAACCCCTTTGTCAAGGCATTTATGATCTTGATTGTTAGAGAGGGAGAAGGAAGAAAGAGATTGTGTGTGTTTCTAAACTAGAGGGAGTGTGTCATAGGATTGTTAAGTTTACTCAGTTTATCTCAAATAGCTTTTAAATCTTTTTGGAAAAAAATGTAAATATAGGATTAAGTTGATTAATTAGTAAAATGGTACTTTATTCTAGTTTAAAAGTCTTAAGTGCCACATAAATCAACATGTCCATTATAAATCAAAGGAAAGAGATATATGATGTCAGTGTAATTATTTAGTATTGATTTCATTGTAAATGGAACCTTTTCACAAACACTTGGATCATTGTTTAAGTATATTACAGAGTCACTCAGCTTATTAGAATTACATAAAGGGTTTTGATTTCATGATGTGGATTTTGATAATATTTGCTAACCCAGGCAAAAACTCTGGAAGAATAGTGTTTAATGTTTACCAATCTTTAGTATATGTGAAATTCTACTTCCCATACTGGTAGTGGATTGTTGATTTAATACCAAATTATCATACAAGAGAACTTTTTATTAAAGTCTCATTTTAAGCTGCAAGCCAGTTGTGGTATGTGGGATGGAGTGCAGTGATCAAACAAGTATTGATCCTATCTTTTTATGCTCATTAGTGTCTTTCCAAACTCTTTTCAGTAGAAAAAAACAGTATGTGGAGACCTTAGTGTAAATGTTTACACACGATAGTATTTATCTACATACATGAATGAAGCGTCTTATTTTGGAGTGAATGTTTTTAGACTTTCCAATAGGAGTGCAAATTAATGTGAGCAGTGCTTCATTTAACACTTAAAAATTAAAAAAAAAATTACTTCATCACTTCAAAAACTTAAGTCTCCACTTGGTTTGGAAAATTAGGCTTAATGTCACCATTGGTAAAAATTAGATATGTATTTAGCCCCTACGATGTAAAATAGGTTACTTATCTGATGTGATTTTTGATGATGGGTAGATAATTATACTTCACATTCTTTGTATGGCAGCTGCTGGCACTTGCACTGTCCATAACCATTAATGATGATGAAGGGTCCTTCATGGGTGGGTTCATATTCATTATACGGTCCTTGGTCTGACATATTTGACATATGGAGTCGTGTTTGGGATCGGAGCTGCCTGTGGTTCTGAATCATTGAGCACTGTCTAATTCTTCTTAAAGTGGGAGGGCAGCACTTCCTGGAGATGAACACTATAAAAATAATAAAAAAGAAAGAAAACAATAAAGCCATTGTTCCTGTAATTACCCGCTGAGTGAAGATGGCATTGTCTGGTTCAGGAAACTGTTCCTCTGTAGTAACTGCTATGCCTGCAGTAGTTGGGATTTCTTTGTCTCCCACATGGTAACTTGATGAGCTTATTCTTTTTGTATATTCAGTGGTTGGATCTTTATAAGTTGTAGCCATGGCAGTGACAGTGGTTGACAAATTCCAGCAGAGTTGAAATCCATGGACTGCATCTAGAATATCCTCTCCTTGGGTGTGGTCAGGACTGTGGCATAGGATGGAGTGCTCCCACCGACCTTGGAAACTGCCCAGCCAGGAGGCCAAAGCACATATTCGGGGGCTGCATTCCCACAGATTGCCAGAGAGGCCAACAGTACTCAAGGTTTTCAGGGAGTGTAAGATCTTGGAATCAAGGCTGCTTAACTTGTTGTTATCCAGGAGGAGTATTTTAAGGTTAGGCATAGTTTCAAACACTGTCAAATCGATGGCTTTGATTTCATTTCCTGTCAGGTCTAGCTTTTCTAAAGTGCCCCAGGTCCACTCCATCCCACATGTCAAGTTGCTAATTTTGTTCCATTGTAAGAAGAGCATGTGCAGACTGCTTAGCCGGAGGAAATGAGCAAAATTAATCTTCGTCAGCTGGTTGTGCTCTAGGTGAAGTTCTCTCAGTTTGATTAATCCTGCAAATCCATTGCGAGCCAAACTTCGCAAACGGTTTGTGCTCAAATCCAGAAACTCCAGACTACGACAGTCCCAGAATAGGCGAACTGGGATAGTCCGCAGGGAGTTGGACCGCAAAAGCAAGGTCTGCAGCTTCCGGAGGCCATAGAAGAGCTCTGGATGCAGAGATGACAGCTGATTAAAAGACAGGTCCAAATTTTGCAGGTTAATTAGTTGGGTAAAAGTTGTGTTTGGCAAGTAAAATATTTTGTTGGAACTTAAGATTAATTCCTTAAGTTTATATAGTCCTTGAAAAGCATCATCTTTTACTGTTGAAATTTGATTGTGGTCTAAGTGGAGCCAGGTAAGTTGACTGAAACTGGCAAATTGATCCCTTTCGAGCTCCGCGATGTGATTGTGCCTCAGGGACAGGCCTAGAGAGCCCTTGTCTGTGGCGTTTGGCACTGAGTGGAAACCCTGAGAGTCGCAGTAGAAGAGCAGCTTCTCGCAGCGGCATTTGGGTGGACACGCCATACCCAGGGCAGGCAGCATTTTTAAAACCATACTCATTGCATATATTGCTGCCAGCATAGGGGCCCCTAATGGCCACTTGAAATGTAAGCCTGCAGAATATAATTTAAGGAAACAAGAAGATAGGATATTTTTCAGCAGATCATATGGACTATTTTAAATTAAAAATTTTTAAAAAGCTACAAAAACCCAGCAACATAGCATTATGGTGAAAGATTTTATGGCATATAACTTATTTTCCATTTGCTGTATAAAGCTAACGTTGTTGCTATAACTGTAACAAAACTTAAGCATCATTTTAAAATCAGATAAACCCATCTCTGTCATCAGCATTATATGCTTTCATATAAAACTCAAAATAAAAAAACCTGATGATTTCACTCCTAAAATGTGAATTCAGTGGCTCATTTAAAGACGTGATTCTTTGCTGACTGTACAAGACATATGAATGCATGGACTTACCCATTCTTCTGAGCACATTGGAGGCTGCATTCAGTCGCGGTTCTTAGACTCAGCGCAGTGAGTCTGTAAAAGGCTCTAACATGCAGGAGCCTTTGACCAGTGTCCTGTTTCCTTGTGTCCCAGGCTCTCAGTACAATTTAATCCACCAGGGTAAGTTGTTTTTTCTTTAGGATATTCCTCTGGAAAGCACTGGCTTCATTTTCTGTGACCACTCAGATCCTCTAAAGCAGTTTTGAATGTAAGTTATTTTCTCTACCTCCGACTGCTCAGCTGGTTAATCAAAGCTTCAGTCTCCCCTTTCCACAGCCGTTAGTTCTTTCCGTCTTAACTTGTTGATGGCAGATGGGCGGCTTGTTGCAGAGAGCTCCTGGAGCAGCATGAGTGCATTTACTGAAAAGCTTTTCCGAGAAACGGCACAAGAATGGATTTGCTTATGTGCTGCGACCACACAGAACTGTATATAGGCTGACGTCACCGGGTGACGTGTCTTTTGTTTGGGTTTTCCAGAAGCTTTACTGTTATAAAGCGCCGTGCTTTGTAACAGTATTGGGTTTGTTGCAAGACCCCCTGGTTAAAATAAAGCAAGAAGGAAGAACTCCTGACTTAAAAACATGGTATTCCTTCAGAGTAGGAAGCTGCAGAGGCTGTAATAAAGGCTGCATTCAAGAAGAACCCATCTGAACAGTGAGTTTGGTTAGCAGAGTGATGATTTTTTAATGCTTGTGAGAGTCAGTGTTAGATGGCCGATTCTGCATACAGAGATCATCTAAATGGGCAGGAGCCTGCACGATTTATGAAGTGCTGATTTAACACCAGACTATGCAAGATAGTGCCTGCTGCTCTGACAGTTTGGAAAGCTGCTACTCAATCATCTTGCTGTCATGTTTGGTTAAAAGAGAAGTATGACTGATTTGCTTTAGATGTCTTGGTAAACTAGCTAAGTGAACTTGGCTTCTTTTGTCATTAAGAGCTTAACGTCAGAAACCAGATATAATTGGCTTCACCCCTTCACCCCTCCACACACCCCAAAAAGCTTCCAAAACAAAGCAATTTGGTTTTTTTACTCACAACTTCAGGAGAACTCTAATTTAAAAAGACTTCTCTAAACTCGTATTTTATAACAATGATTAATCACCATGCTAATTGAAAAATATGTGGAGTTGATCTTTAATGTTTTGAGAGACATGGGGTAGGTTGATGTAGTCATTATAATACTGCATACCCTAAATGTTACACTGGAACAGAAATTATTTAGGACAAGTGGTATAGTGTGACTAGATTCTGACATGCTCCTTTATATTTACTAAAGAATTTCACCTATTCCTACAACTGAAGTAGTCCTGGTGTGGTGCTTTGGGTTGGGTTAATGTGCTGGACTGCAAAGTTGGTTTGAACCTCAAGTTGGCTGTTAGTCTCACCAGCCACTCCTTGGAAACCCTATACAGGATCGCTGTGGGTCAGAACCACCTTGATGGCACTTAACAACACGAATAATAACAGCTACAACTGAAAGCCTCCATTGGCACTAGGATGGGGTTGTGGCTCTCAAACAATAGAGCATTTTACATACTTAATACTGGCTCATAAGAACTGACTTGAGTCTCATACTAACTGTTGTTGAAATTTCTCTAGTGAATACAAAAGGTCATTCATATATTTTAACAGGATTTTTGCTTTGGCTGTTTTTACTTAACTGAAATCTAGCTTTTCCCTGTTGCATAGTGCCATCACTTTTTAGACATTGGTTATGAATGTATAATTCCAGGTTTAATGTTGTATAAACATGAAAAAGTTTTCTAGCATGAATCATTTTCAAGCTTAATGAAGGTGGTGGTTGTTATGTGCCATAGAGTTGGTTCCGATCCGTAGTGACCCTCCAGAGGGTTTCTGAGCAGCAGCTGGTGAGCTTGCAGTTCAGACACCCTTTCAGTCTGGCGCATTAACTTAGCACACAATGCCACACCAGTAAGACCACTTAAATACATACGTCTTGCCTTATTGATTTTACCTTGTATACCAGTTTTTCCCATATTCTTGGCACTTAACAGTAGATCTTTTCATAGACGTGGAGGCAGAAATCTCAAACCTACCTTGGCATTTGTGAAACAAGAATATCATTGAAGTGAGAGAGTTCAAGGACTTCACCCCACTGAACAGGTCTAAGAAGTCACTGTTAATGTAAGGGGTATAATTTCTGTGTTGGAGTGAGGACTAGGAGACTTCAGGGGTCTTTGCTTGTGTGTGGGATGCTGCATAAAAGTAAAAGTACTATGAACTGCCAAAATGCAGGTGTCATTTTGGGTCTTTGTAGAAGCAGGCCCAAAATGGGATTATAGAAGTATGTGAGGTTTACATGAGGAAATTACTGGGAAAGGAGTAAGTACATCAAGAGAGCTTTCAGAAGGCAAGGCAGGTCTCATACTTATGAAAAGAGGGGAAGGATGTAAGTCAGCAGAGGCTCAGAGTGCAGTGTGTTTCTGCCAGGTCCAAGGAAAGTCCCCCAGCTGAAATTGCTTGTGTCCTCAAGGATGAGCCTGCATTTATAGACACCACTGTTTTCCTCTTTTCTGGTTAAGGGAGGGAGGAAGACATGCCCTGTTTTAGACCCCAAGGATGACTATTCTTCCCCTGACATTGATCGTTTCCATACTCTGTAGGCTATGACTTCTTAACTTGCTTCCACAGACAGGAAATTTTTGTTGCTTGTGCATATTTGTGTGGACACGGTTTATAGGTTTACTCAGATTGTTCTATAGAAACTATCTCCTAAAATTTCTGAGAGAGAGGAGTTTTATATCATAGGAGTGGTCTTTTCTAAGAATTTGTTAAGAAACAGAGCCCTTGATATAGAGCAAATGCCATTATTGAAATCAGCCACCCTCTGATGAAATAGCCTTTGCCTCACAGGAGGAACTGGATTAAATTCATCTCCCAAGTAACAACTTTAGTTCCATGTGGAGAAAAGCATTTGAGTCAATTGGAGTAGAGCAACCATGATTAGGAATATGCTCTATGTGAAAATTTAGAAGGAAAAGTATCTCGTTCAACTCAGATTCTTGGTTACTTTCAGCTCTCTAGTTGACTTGGCATATCTCTTATATCTGAAAAGATTGAAACTACTTAAATGAAATTATCCCAGTACTACTTTGGACTCCTAAAAGGAGTCCCAAAATTCCTCACCACTGGAGCAATAAACAACATTTTAATCAATGGAGAAAAGATTAAAGTTGTCAAGGACTTCATTCTTCTTGGATCAACTATCAACACTCATGGAAGCAGCAGTCAAAAAATAAAACGACATATTGCATTAGGCAAATCTGCTGCACAAGACCTTTTAAAAGTGTTGAAGAGCAAAGATGTCAGCTTGAGGACTAAGGTGCACCTTGAGGACTAATGTGCACAGTTCAAACACACCCAAGCCATGGTATTTTCAATAACCTCATATGGATGCGAAAGCTGGACAGTAAATAAAGAAGATCGTAGAAGAATTGATGCTTTTGAGTTATGGTGTT